GGCCAAAGAGCCTTGGTCTTTGTTTGTGTGTTTTTAATGATTAGCTGCTGCTTGATTTTTTCATCAATAACAGATTCTCTTTTTTATTATACACAGCCCTTACAGCTTCACATAATTAATGAGCCGTAACGATATTCCACACATCAGTACCACGGGGCATCGGAACGGCCGCGACGCTGCGATTGTACGGCAAGTGCCAGAGCTGTGAAACGCTACTAAATGTAGCCGTGAAGGTTGAATACATCTTCAGAATGATGTTACATTCAAAGAAATTCGGAAAAGCTCTAATACAGTGAAATTTAGTGTCCAATGAGGCCTTGACGCTAGCAATTGGACAGCATGCTGATTCTACCGCTATAAAAGGCATGCTTCTTTTTTTTTTCCCTGAAGCATCTAGTGAAAATTCGTGGACAATCCAGAGTTCTTCAACGACTCCGGTGGTTCTTGATGCGTCGCGGAAGCGGAGTGGTTGCAACTTTTGACAGCGCATATCCAACCTTTCAGGCTATATATAAGTTGGCTGTTTCTATTCGAAGATATGTATTTTAAAATTGTCTTGCATTTATTAAACTAACAACGCTTTGAATGAATTAGTTCTTTGAATTTAGCAAGTGATGAGGATCAAGCAATACCTCATGACTTTTTCCTCATTTTCGTGTGTTGTTTTGCATTGATTTATCACTATGGTGACATGTTCTAAGTTAGGTTGGCCATGCAATGTAGTTTCCCAGTCCTTTACTCTGCTGTGTAGTTTATTTAGTTTACTCATGCTGTGTTTTCCCTATCCTTCTTGATTGAGTTCACTGTTAAGGCGTAGCCTTACATGCCTCCTCAAGCGAGAAAATTGACCTAATGGGTCTCGCGTGAGCATGTGATGCAAAAAGTTATCTTCTCGTGCTCATGACGCATTGATATCGATAATTAACTTTTCACGCTTTGACCGCTTGCACAAGTTTTGTACAGCATTTTGGTGCGACCTCTCTTGCGATGTCACCCTAGCAAGCTTCTACTGGTAACGCTGAAGCCTCTCTTCTATGCAACGGATGTGTCCTTTGTATTTTTCAAACTGTGAGGAGCTGCGTGCAGCTCCGCCTGTTTGGCATATTACCTCTGCAAATATGGTCATCTCAGTGCCTGTATAAAAGAAAACGGCGAGCATTTCACTCATGGAGCTTTTGTATTATCTACTGGAGTGCAACAAGGAAGAGGCGGCCAGTATGCTCACCTTCATTAAATGCGTCGTTATCTATTGGAACTATGTCAAAAGGGCTCATGCATAGTGTAGATGCAGCCTCAACAAAGGCATTGCCTCAACAGTCTCCAGCTGAGCTGATGGTTCCCGGCGAGGTTTGGTAGACGGGTGAGCTCTGCATTTTTGCATTATAAAGTACGCCGTGAGGCCGTAGAAAATACTTGGCACAGCGTCGACAAAAGTTTCGGAACATTACGCAGTGACTTCACAACAACACCTCCGATTAGCCACTGGTCCACGCGAATGATGTCACTCTCATCGAAGTGCTTTTCGCACACGTGCACATTCGGAGAATCAAATGTGAAACCACTAGTTTCTTGTTGCAACATTCTGTACTTCTACTTTTCCTAAGAACTTGGCCTAAGAACTTGGAGGGTTTTTCATCATTTTTCTTGTAACCAGATAAACAAGCAGGTCCACAGCAGGTATGTGGAATCCTTCCCAGTCATCAGGCACAGCACACTAGGCACAATAGTAATCATATAGTGAAAGCCGCACAATGACATGCCACAATATTATGCAGTGACCCCATAGCAGCACCAGCAGCCAGCTTCGCTCCAGTCTTCCCGATGCCCCTCGCGGGGATGCGGCGCGCCCCGTGGCCTCCGCTCGCAGTACACAAAGCTCTCCTATACAGTTTTGATGAAGCTTGACGACGAGAAAGAAATATTAAAGGACTCTGGTACCACCGCAGCTGAAGCTCCTAAAATTATTAAGGCGAAAGCCTTAGGTACCTTATGAAACACGAAAATCGACAGTGGACAGCATCAACGTGAGTGATGCAAAAAATCGTGATAATGTAATGACGTCACCATGATGTCACATAAATTTATGATGTCACCAAAATTTATGTTGTCACGTGATGACATCATCACGTAAGATTGCTATTTGGTCAAAGGTGAATTTTACAGTAAATTTATGTTTAAGGAGCTTGAGATGCTGTATTCACTGTGCCACAAGGTTTCAATTGTGCGAATGCCGATGTTATATTAATATGCAGGAAGGAAGATGTAAAAGACTTTGAAGAGCTATGGACCCAACAGCCTATTTGTAGTATTACAGAAAATATTCCCAGTGCTTATTTAGAATAAGTTGAGAGAAGCACTTCATTTTAATCAGTCTACAGAGTAAGCTGGCTTCTGAAAAGCGTACTCTGTGGTAGATGACAGTCATGTCATGTGATCAACCAGGTAATTGAGACAGCCGCTTAATACGACAAGCCCGACCCTTTATATAGCTTTCATAGGTTATGAAATAGCACTTGACTCTGTAGAGTTTTTAGCAGTCGTAAAGGCATTAGGTGTGCTAAGTTAGGTTGCTCGAGTGCACTCTAGCCAGCAGAGTGCACTCTTGTAAACTTAACGGTCAAAAAGTGACATGTGGTGCGTGATTGTGGAGTGTGCTTTATGCGCTCCCTCCCTGAGACGGTGCACGAAAGCCTGCATGAGAGCTCATGCCTCCTACGGCTTCTGTAAGAATAACGTGTTTCTGACTCTTTCCTTTGATGAAGTGTGTTCTCTTTCCCTACTCGTTTCTACCGCAGTAACTATGTAACATTTGCTTGTTCAACACTTTCATATGCCCGAAAGCAGTCAGTGAAATTCTAAGTTAAGCTATGCTTCGAAGGTGTCGCATCTGAGTGTTTCGAGCATGTTCCTTTGGATTTCAGAGCATGCTAACTTGATGAGCCCACTGTGTCACCATGGTGCTCTTGAAACGTGGATACATCAGACAACGTATACAAGAACTCCACAGCTACGTCGCTCTTGAAAAGAAAAGAAAAATCTTCTCAATCACTTAAAGGCCAGGCAAGCAGATTGAATGTCTCCATGTTTATGTAAACAACTATATTGGGAAGAAATGAGAATAATGGCTAACAGAAAATATCTTGACAACTAACACTTTGCAGATTACATTGTGTTTTCTCAGCAATACTAGCAGCGAACTTTAACAAATGGCGTGGCACCTCAACCAACAATAACAAAAAAAAGCAGATCCCACGTACAGTGGGAATCAATGATATGCGAAGCAAACCAGCACATGGGCACATGGTGACCATGCGGTCAGGTACATGTCATTCGCCCGACTGAGCCAGGACAAACAGGAAAATGTCTTCGGGATTATTCGGTGATATTGTAGTAGTAATGACCATCTGAATCCCACACAATTCCTAGTGAATGTAAATTGCTTATCTTTTTATAATCTCGCGAGACAACCCAAGGATGGGAACTCCCTAGCAGAGCTTGTAAAAACTCTCCTTAACACTTTGTCGCCAACCTTAAGTGATTCCATTTCGGCATACGAGATAATATAGAAGATGTCGGACGTTGGAGGTGTAGACGGCGTTAGGTCTACACTGTGGTGATCACAGTAGCTATGTCGTTCAGAAAAGGTGGCTCTTGCCACCAAGAAATCTGGAGCCATTGTCACACTGAACAGTGAGTGAGTGAGTGCATTTGACAGGGAAGGCTTACTGTATCCTTGTGAAAGTCTGGTCAGACTGGTGAAAACTTGGAGGATGCATTTACTTTATTTTTCTGTTGAAAAATTGCACTCCTTCAACATACATGATTTCATGAAGTTCTTGGCAGAAATCGAGCTGGATAGAGTTGGCTGTGAAATTGACCACAAAAATAGTCCAGTTTTTTTCTGCTCATGCATATGCAATTCTGGGCAAAATTTTAAACAAAGATAGGAGTGCCAAAAGGGAAGAAACAATATTAAGTTGAGAAGGTGCAAGTAACTTGACTTCTTAAAGTAATAGGGAAGTATGTGATAAGAAATGTGTGTCAGAACTATGTGATCACAAATGTGCCATAAATAAACACATTGTACCATTTGTCTTGCGTGTATTATTTTGCATCTAAGGCCATAAGTTAACAAATATGTGTCCCAGCATAGAGAGAATGATGACTAAAATAAGAAAGTGTCTAATGTACAAAATAGCCTCCCGATGCAACATCTCTATCGCCTGTCCAAGTTTCTAAAAAAAAAAAAAAAGGTGTGAAAAAGTGCCAATGATTTGAATATTTTATGCTGAATGGAACCCAACTTCTTGGAATTACGAAGTAATGAAGGTGTGCTTGGGGGGGGGGGGGGGGGTAGATAGGAAAAAAACACAAAAGAAGAGAACATTCAGCCCTGTATAAACGCTGTGAACAATTGTAAAGAGTTTAC